ATGTATGTATGTATGTATGTATGTATGTATGTATGTATGTATGTATGTATGTATGTATGTATGTATGTATGTATGTATGTATGTATGTATGTATGTATGTATGTATGTATGTATGTATGTATGTATGTATGTATGTATGTATGTATGTATGTATGTATGTATGTGTATGTATGTATGTATGTATGTATGTATGTATGTATGTATGTATGTATGTATGTATGTATGTATGTATGTATGTATGTATGTATGTATGTATGTATGTATGTATGTATGTATGTATGTATGTATGTATGTATGTATGTATGTATGTATGTATGTATGTATGTATGTATGTATGTATGTATGTATATGTATGTATGTATGTATGTATGTATGTATGTATGTATGTATGTATGTATGTATGTATGTATGTATGTATGTATGTATGTATGTATGTATGTATGTATGTATGTATGTATGTATGTATGTATGTATGTATGTATGTATGTATGTATGTATGTATGTATGTATGTATGTATGTATGTATGTATGTATGTATGTATGTTTCACCAAGGTAACCTTAGGGAAACTACCATTTCTTTCTGCCTACAGAGATCTGGTTTCAGCCGTTTGATCGCGGAAGCTTCCGCGTATCGGTGTAATCTACGGTTGGCCGAATTGTAAATAATTCAAAATGCATTATCCCTGTTGAGAATGTACTCGAATTTGTGTTTTAGTTTCTAGGATTCAGCTATTTGCTTCATTTTCATCACTTGTTACTGTAGTATGCACCTGGCGAGATACAGCGAAATATGCCTGGCAATAAATTGTGCAGTCTATTGTTTGTGTCTTCTTTGTACAAAGACAATTTTTAGCAAGATGCGGTTGGCATTTTATGCAGTATGATACACTTTGAGTGTGAAACAAGAAAAAAAAAAAAAAATTTTTCGACAGTGGCAAGGAAAGACAATTTAAATTTTGGCTTTCAAGTTTCTTCATGCCTTTTTTAATAATGTCATAATTTATAGCAGACTTCTCTTGATTTTCGCTGCGGCACCCCTGGCATGCGCACCCAATTTTAGAACCTCTGCTGTATTGCCTAGGTCGAGTCAGCAGGCAAAGAAAGGCCTTGCCAACTGCTGTTACCACGCTACCGGGTCGCAGTTTTCCCACTACGACAGATTTAGGCAACGCTACTATTGTGTTAATGAGAGAGTTATTTCAGTCCATCGCAGTGTATGCAGAAATGACCATTCGTATTTGGCCCGACCGCCACAATTCGGCCGAATACCGAATAACTATTAAGTCCACTATTCGGCCCCGTACGTATGTATGTACGTACGTACGTACGTACGTATGTATGTATGTATGTATGTATGTATGTATGTATGTATGTATGTATGTATGTATGTATGTATGTATGTATGTATGTATGTATATATGTATGTATGTATGTATGTATGTACGTATGTATGTATGTATGTATGTACGTACGTACGTACGTACGTACGTACGTACGTATGTATGTATGTATGTATGTATGTATGTATGTATGTATGTATGTATGTATGTATGTATGTATGTATGTATGTATGTATGTATGTATGTATGTATGTATGTATGTATGTATGTATGTATGTATGTATGTATGTATGTATGTATGTATGTATGTATGTATGTATGTATGTATGTATGTATGTATGTATGTATGTATGTATGTGTGTGTGTGTGTATGTGTGTCTGTATGTGTGTATGTGTGTGTGTGTGTGTGTAGGTAGGTAGGTAGGTAGGTAGGTAGGTAGGTAGGTAGGTAGGTAGGTAGGTAGGTAGGTAGGTAGGTAGGTAGGTAGGTAGGTAGGTATGTATGTATGTATGTATGTATGTATGTATGTATGTATGTATGTATGTATGTATGTATGTATGTATGTATGTATGTATGTATGTATGTGTGTGTATGTGTGTATGTATGTAACTAATAATACCAGTCAAAACAACTAATAGTAGAAATAAGTGATCGAAGATTGTGGAGAGCCATAATCGCCCACGCAAAGGCAAGGCACCTGATGATGATAGTGCACTATTCGTATTCGTTTTCGTATTTGGCCGATTAGTTGGTCCCGCTATTCGTATTCGGCCAAATAGTGAAAATCACTATTCGATAAAGCCCTACTAACAATACACGAAGGGATAGGGTTTCTAATAAAAGCATTAGACACTGAGTTGGAAAACGACTGTGTCCAAATTATATTGACGAAGAATTAAATGATTCGGCCACCTAGTGAGAATGCAGCCAGACAAAGCTGCTTGTGACCCTTTTTACAACAGAAAATCTGGGAGGAAGGCAAGGGGAAGAGCAAGAAAGAGTCCGGTACAGATTGTAGCAAAAACCTGCAAACCAATGAACAAATCCATTGCAAAAGCCAGCCGAGAAGAGCAAGACAAATACAGAAAACCCCGAAACTGGTCTACGACTTTGTATCGGTGAGACGACACAAGACAGAAAAATACAATACACATAAAGTTACCCAATACGATTTAATAAGAGAGTATTATCCACGATAAAAAAATACGTTAATAATATCCAGATAAAGCGTCATCATATATATATATATATATATATATATATATATATATATATATATATATATATATATATATATATAGAGAGAGAGAGAGAGGAGAGAGAGTGTGTGTGTGTGTGTGTGTGTGTGTGTGTGTGAAAAAGTAAAATCCTTTTTCACGATCATCGGGCATATGGAAAGAGCGTCCCATATTTTTACAGGGCAATCCGCACTGGGTGGGTATTGTGGTCAGCATTACGCCGGCCGTCTTTACTTCCCCAGGACAACCACCCTGGTACCCATTTTAGGCCGGGTCGGCCTGCGACGCCCCATACCATGGGAAAAATATCCACGCAGCCAGCAGTGGGTTTCGATTGCCGTACGTTTGAATTACGAGTCAGACTCGCAACGCTCTAAGTCGTAGATTATTTAGCTATTCAATATGCTGGGTTGGGCTCCAGTAGCAAACACGACCACCTTGTAAATACCGTGGGGAACTAGTCCATAAAGGAACCAGTGGTGGCAACTGACGATGTGAGTTCTCTTGAGAAAAACTTGAGAGGGGCTCTATGTGAAGCAGATATAATGATTTAGCTCACATTGTATGATAATGCGACTTTATGTCTTACTTAACTACGATATACCCGAAAGCACAAGCCGATATTCTCCAAACTGATATACATCACAATAGGCTGCCTTAATGAATTTTAAAGAAAACAGAAGTTAGGGCCTAACACATCTGTTCTTCGCCCTGTATGTTTAATTCCACCAAATAACTTCTCTAATTCCAATTCCAGTTTTCCAACAAAAATTCCTAATTTGATCCCGGAGGCCTGCTATATGAAGGAAGGTTCACTGGCTATTTAATTTGGTTTCCTTTTTTTGTGTGTGGTATGTAGTCACGCCTGATATTCCGGTTCTTTGCTTCCTGAGTCCGGTGTGGTGCTTGTGGTTTTTGGGTCTGGTATGGTCCAGTTCTCTTAGTGCTGATATTTGCAGGGTGGTATATATATATATATATATATCCCTAAACGGGACCAGATGAGGTCACGGCGATCTGTAGATAATGCTGATTGGCAGGCCCTCTGGCTGATTTTGTGAGCCTTGGATCTTCTTGCTTAGAACCATAGTAGAATGCTCAGAATGCCAGTCATAAAAAGGCCATAGCTGAGCTAAAAACGAAAACAACACCTTTCTGTAATTTCCATATGCATTTCCATTCACTTATCAACAAACACTTGCATTGGGTTAATAACACATCATATGAATGCATACATACATCACTTAGCACAAGTGTGCATAGGTGTACAAGAGACAGCTGTAGAAACCCAAAATACAGCAGACAGAGCCTGTTCATGGACGTCAGAGATAGGTACAGTGCTCATGCCCTCAAAAAAAGAGAACAATATTAATATCTATGCTTATACATAATACATACATATAGAAATATGCTGAACAGGCAGGTAAAGTGGGTACACAAGAATTATTGTGAGAAATGTCCCCTATTTTATTGTGACTCGGTTCACATATAGGGGTAAGAGAAACTGAAAGGTTGAATGGATTTGAGGTGGAAAAGGAAGGAAGGAGGGTAACTCCTGTTTGATTCTTACGCATGAAGTGTTAATCCTATGGGCAGCAATCGTATAGGTGAACAATAACCGGCGAACCACTCGCATAATTGTGATCGAAGGTGGGTTCTACAACGGCGAGGCTTAGACGAGGCAGTCAGTGTTCCTAACAAGTCCGAGTGTGCTGACGGCTCACGATCAACTTTAGATGTGTAGCAACCAAACAGGCAATACAGCCATAATATCTATTATAACAGTGAGTGAAAATGTAAAGGAGACTTTCCCACGCCTTAAGGCATATTGGGCACACAGACCTAGACCTATGTCTTATACACGGCCGACTCTATTTACAGCTCGAGCCTGGAGGTAGTTTTATAGACCTACTATAGACTCCGTAGGTGATGTGGTCAACATCACCCCGGCCATCTTTACTTCCCAGATCTTCAGCTGGTACCATTTAAGGCTGCTCTGACCTTGACAAGTCGATTTTTTTTAAGATAAAAAAAAATTTACGTGTACATTTTTAGTCTATATTTGCGGTTGTCTTTTGTTTCCATTATGCTCATATGGAAAAAAATTTGGCTGATTCATTTGGAGAAGAAGGAGAGTAAAATATCTCTCTCTCTCTCTCTCTCTCTCTCTCTCTCTCTCTCTCTCTCTTTCTCTCTCTCTCTCTCTCTCTCTCTCTCGCTCTCTAAGTGTGTGTGTGTGTATCTTTATTTTGTTCATCTGGGGGGGGGGGAGAGGTGGATGGGGGGGGGGGGGGGGAGTGTGTATGAAGAAACATCGACTTATTGTCTTTTATTTCCACCTAAGTTTTCCTGTATTTAATTATTTTTTTTTTTCTTTTTCTAATTGTGAAATTAAAGTCTGTTATGTTTGACTTGTTTAGTATTTACGCCGTAACGATCCGCCGAAATGCGCTAGCGTAGACCCAAGAACGGCAGTTGAAAACTACATGAACAGTAAACACGTGAATGAGCTCTTTCTGGTGAGAGATTTTTTTATTATTCCTTAGCTATTTACAGACACTGGGTTAAACGAGTCATTGCATACTGTTCAGTAACAAGCCTGGTATTAACAAAACAAAATATGGAAAGTAAAGAAAAGTGCAGCTTTCTATGTGTGTGTGTGTATATATATAATATATATTATATCGCATATAATATAAACACATATTATATATATATATATATATATATATATATATATATATATATATATATATATATATATGTATACTTATATTTTATATACCAGTCGGCACTTGACCTGTATTACTGAAGCCGCCTTTAGTTTCCATGACTTTACCTGGTACCCATTCAAGGCTGGGTCAACCTGGCAGCCTATGCCATTTCTAAGAGCACCAAGTCCAGATATGAACCCACGACCTTAGGTTCCACAGGCGAGCGTCTAGCCCCTAAACATATATCCCGAATCACAGCTAGAGATGTACAGTTTACAGATATGAACTGCATGCGACTGATAAAGATAAGTCAGTTTTGCAACAGTTTTTCTGATGGCGTTACTGCAAAAAGTGGGAGGTGGCGGGGGAGCGGGGTAATTTTGTTTGTTCGTTTTCGACCTCTAGGATTGTCTCGTGTAAGATTATCATCTAATGATAATCATCCCAGTGAGAATGCCACATAAGATCAAGGCGTGGTTCAAATGAAAACGTCTGATTCAGCACCCAGCTTTTCGCAAAATCCCCCTCATTTTTGTCCCACGTCATGCTGGTGTGAAAGGCAATGAGAGAGCAGATGCTTTGGCTGGCAGAGCGCGACTATCAGGAGGATAGAGCCCTCTATGGATAGGGGAGACATCACTAATGCCATACGATAGACTTAACGCTGTAAGGCTTTAAGTTTCGTGGAAAGTGATTTTTCAATGAATAGATTCCATACCCTGGGTGTACCAGTTGGAGTTGAGAGACAGAAAAATTATGCGGGAGCCACCTGTCACTACATTAGCCAGAACAGAATGGGAGCTGTTAGCCTGAAATCACTTGAAGACATACTCAGGAGGAGATCGGAGTACTTATGGTCATGTCCGATGAAGACGATCTCTAAAGTGAACAATGACCTAACTATCCTCTCATGATTTTGAGAAAACTAAATAATATCACGAAATGATAAAGGAAATAACATGGCAGTCCCCCTGAGACATGCAAACCGTAAACCGACTAGAGAAACCAGACGTAGACAGTCACAGTTTTTGGACATGTTATGAGAAGGACTGGACTCGAGAACACAGACTCTGAAAGCATGCTGAAAAGGGTGGAGACAGGGATGCTTCAGGCAGAGTGGCAAGCTTTCCTGGAAAGGTCACTGGTAGTGAGCATACTTTGGATCTTTTCTCCAGGCAATGCTGGCGTGGTGAGTAATGAACAGGCAGACAGATTGACTGGATCTGCACCACTGGATGGTGAACTGATACAGGACAAGGCAGATGTGGGCAAGGGCCTTTGGGAACAAGCAATGGAATCAGTAGAGAAAGAAGATTATTGTGGCCTGGAGAGAACGAGGCACCTGGGTGTAACCAGAGGATCTGACCGGCTGACTTCAAGACGGACATTTAACCACATTGTGACCGGTACCATTAGTAAAATGGAACTCTGCCCTGGCTGCTAAAGATGAGGATGGAGCATGCATGGGAATGCCCCGAATGCTGTGATGTCTATCTTGACTCAACTCAACTGGACTCGAGAACTTGATGATAACTGGCAAGACTGGTGGGAAAAGAGCAAAGGGAAAGCAAAGAGATAAACATACGGATGGCTTGGTCATATGAATGGGGCCAGACAATGGCATCCGACCTGATTCGTGATTCTAGTGATCGTGTACATAAGTAAATCCGGAGTGCCATTTAAATGGTTTGAGATGAATTATGTCTGTATTCCATAGTTGTGGATTTCAAGCTGTACGATAGACATGCCAATGTGGACACCTTTTTTTTTGGGGGGGGGGGAGGCGGGGGGGGGGGGGGGGTTTGCCTACTCGTCTATGTTCTTTGTACGCTTGTTTCCATAGCGAGGCGCACACGCCTTTTGGGGGTGACAGGTTCGATTTCCGGCATGGCGACTATATCCTTCGATGTTTATGTTGTCTAGTGTGTCCTTCTATTTATCTACTTCTTTCTATGAGTGCAGTTCAGGATAATGTCGAAACATCACTGCCTACGCTTACTGGTAGGGAACACGATAATGTTGATTGTGGTCTTTAATTAACATTGTCTGTATTTTCAGTACCTGACGGGAAAACTAATTATTGATGCACCTGATAAACCGCTGGATTACCTCATTGACTTGGTCAGAACATTAGACACCTCACAAGGGTTGAGTGGCGTTAACTTCTGCCATTGAGAGGATATTTATTGCATCACTTTCACTTTAAACTGTTACATTAACAGGGTCATGCTTTTTTTAGAGCCTGAATCGTTGATGACAGAAAATATAATCTGACTTTTAACATTAATTATATAAATGTGTAAACAAGTGCAGCAACGCCCATAAACAAGATGATGGTTTTCCATCACAACCCTCCTGATAGTTATTGTCTATAGCACCCGAATTATTAGAGTCTCGACAGTCAACACAGGTCGTCGGGTTGTTTTCGCCAGTCATTCGATCGTTTTAATACGTTAGATTCTTAATTAAGGACACTGTTGTAAGTGGATCCTTACTCGTGCACATGTGTAGTGCTTTGCAAAGCCGTTACAAGTGTCCTAGTTATAAATCCTTTGGAGTTTGAACGGGGTACCATGTATTATCATGCCTTATTGCTTTCGCCATCTTGGAATCAACTCTTGAAGTTGCAGGGGCATTCATACTTTCAGGTAGCCGCCCGAGAGGATAGAACAGACGGCGTTTTACACTCCGTTCGTTTAAGATCAAAATGTTGCACTGGAATTCTTCAGTTATTTGCATTATTTTTGCACGTTATCTCTTTTCGACTAATCAATACTTCACGTCCACTAACAAATAAATGGTTTGACTGCGACTCATTATGTTAGAGACAAGAACATGCTTGTTGAAATGACCGCTTCTAACAGACTGAAAATTCAAGACTTTGTACCCAAGACGTAATTGTAGAATGTAATACTTTTTTAATATATATTTTTATACTTTCTTTTTTTTTAAATATATTTGATATCTCTGTATAACCATTTGGATCAATAAAGTTATTTTGTATACAAATCAGTGGTGTATAAACGAAAGCTTATTTAAGTATAGTTGTTTGTTTTTACAATTAACTCTCTTTATGTGTTCGCATATTATTGCTGGTGACATTTACTTTCAAAGTGCAGTGTCTAATTTTACTTAGGAGGCGATAGGAGCAATTACGGTCATGTCCGATGTGATTGATGATGATCTTTAAATGAACAAAGAGCAATGTCTAATGCAATGGTTCCCAACTATTTTTGACTTCTTGCGGAACCCCTTTAAGAATCGATGTTTATGGCAGACCCCAGATGTCTATCGAAACTTATGTCTCACAAGTTAATGGTGTTTAGAAGTAAATGTGACACTGAGCCTGTGGCTGGCCCACTCACTCAAGTTGTCTGTCACAATATTTTGGAGCTAGTGGCAGCAGTTTCTACTTTTTGTTTCTAAATCATCATTTCATTCAATTTTATTCATTTAACTGCAGCCCCTGGGAAGTGCATGCAGGGCCCTCATAGCTCTGAGGAACTCCAGCTGGGAACCGCTGGTCTAACACACACACACACACACACATATATTTATATATATATATATATATATATATATATATATATATACATATATATATATATATCTATACACACACACACATACATACACACACAAACATAAGAAAAATGCAATGCTCATTATATAGTGTATGACTTACATTTTTAAAGACTTAACATATAGTGTATGACTTACATTTTCAAAGATTAAACAGCATTAGATTGGCGATGTCGTCGCATGGGTTCAGTGGCTCTAATCTGAGAAGAGGAGGGGAAGGGGAACAGATCAACGACCCGTAACAACCATACTGTAAAAGGCGGCTTATTAGCTATTTGCTAAAATCGGAGGAGTTAGACCAAAAATGTATAGATATCACAATCTTTATTATTTCTGGTTCGAATCCACACTGAGGCAGATTTCTATATGGCTCACATGAAAACTCACAGACTAAATTTGGTATCATCAAATTTCCTGAGAAGTAAAAGAGGAAAGTATTCATTTTTTCCACACTGACCATCGTGTACCGATTGGTCTACCAAAAAAAGGGGTCTTTACTTATTTTACTGAACAGAACAACAGAAACACATTAGTTGATTAGACACTAAGAGGCGGAATGATTAACCCAGAAAATAAATGCCCAAAAAACTCAAATGTGTTGAGCACAAGGTGTCAGTCGAAAGACACAAATATCCCAGCTATACTGTAAACAGGTACGACACAATCATGTTGCACAAACAAACGAAGAAGAAAAGGATGCCACAGGGTGGTTTATAGCACAAGTTTATTCAGTCACTTCTAAATCAAGATAATAGAAAAAGTACCTACACTTAGTATCATTTCACTAGACTCAAGGCAAACATTATAAACATAATGAAAACTTTAACTGCCAGAGCAATAAATGCCAAAATTTCTGAGAGTAAAATGTGGAAAATTAAGTAAACAATTTTAGCATTTATATTTCAACTTATTAGAAATTTAGCCTATTCAATCTGAACATATTTAGATCCACATATGTGTAGGAATAAGGCCTGCAGTAATGGAGTAACGCATGAATAAATAAATAAATAAGATACAGCGTCCCAAAAAAAATCCAATTTAGATCAGAGCTTCCCTCCCCCCACCCCCAACAGTGGATGTTGACTGCAATAGATCTTCAACACACTCTGTCTCTGGTACTTGGTTGTATACCTACTGAGACTGCCATTCATCCCTCTCTTGATATCATCCTCGTACTCGTATTGCAGTCTATGTTTTGCTCAGATGTCTTCAACTTTTCCCCTAATGGATTTTACTGTGTCTAACTTTAAAACATTACACACAAAGGCTTCAGTCACCAATCTCTTCCATATTAGCCAGCTTGTTCTCTGATGTGTCCTGAATACACATTATGTGTACCACCCAGTCCGCTGTTTCGCTTCACAAGCCACTGATCTATTCCTCCATCTTCTGATATAATTCCTCTTATCTGTATCGCTGTCAACATCTTGCTTAGATGTCTTCCTCTTATCCCTCAAGAATTTTAATGTGTCTCCATTACTAGCTTAGGATGTTGCATGGTGGGGTCTTAATCTCTTTCACAAAGGCCAGCCGTGCTCTCTAGTGTGCCCTGAATATAAGCCATGTGTCCCACACACTCTACTGTTTTCCTTCACAAGTATTTATTCTGTATAGATTCTTCTGCAGTCAGACTGGGAAATTTGAATTTTGAAGCACAGAAAGTATGGCCATGTTTTATGCAGATGAAAATAAAGAAATGCCTGAGTAATGTATAAAAATAATCGTCGTAAGAAAAAGCTCTGCCTTGTTATTTCCGATGACATGTGAGCAAAGGCCTAAAACAATTTTTTTAGCAATATCCACCCTACTCCACATAATGTTATTATTTCAGCTCTTTGAATTGCAGGAAACATCAGCTGTTTGTTGCTAATTTTCTTGCAGACATAAAATCCAGGATATAATACTGTTGAGACAGTGTGTGTGTGTGTGTGTGTGTGTGTGTGTGTGTGTGTTTTCTTTAACTACTGCGCGTAGAGAATGCGTGCTGAATTTTAGTAATACAGTGAGATAGTATTTTGGCTACGGGACACCAGTAGCACACATACATCTTCGCGTAGGGAGTCGGCAGTCCAAAACCCAAGTTTAAGATGTCTCCTTTGTGCCAAAGAACTGCATGGCTGTTGGGTGATCAACAGTCAACGAAGGCAGTCGGTCGTCTTTGGGGCGAGGCTTGCTGGTGGATGTAATGTCCTAAATCCCTTCCCCAGCTAATAGTAGGGTACTGTTGGGGGTGACAGTTTATTAACCCTCACATAATGCTTCAGGTCCAAATGAACACTAGGCACTGCCACTGTTTTGAGCCGAGGCAACAATTTTTGCTTCTGCCAGACTGTGGCCGTTGCTTTTTTGCTCCATTTGTATACTGGAAGTATATAGTTTCGTTGACAAGCCTCTCAGTTCAGTGCATGGCGTGACACTGTGAGCTGCGGATTTCATTTGGAATGTTTTTCTACTGACCAACGTGGTGGTGTGATTTGTAGATTCAGAAAATGGCGCAATGCCGGTTGACGCAATATTGGTGTGGCAATTATTTGATTAAAATTGATCGCGTGTGCAACTGCTGATCTTTTAATGACTTCTGCTACCATCAATGATGAACTGCATTTCTAATGTCGGACTGTTTGTGTTAGCACTTCGGATGGCTACCATATGCTTTTAATGCGAGTGTATGCTAGATTTGCTGAGAGAGCAGTTTGTCAGTCTTTCCACAAGTGACTGTGATAAACATTCTGTGTGTTTTTCGTTGGCACAGGAGCGGAGCGAAGATGAGGTGACCCGTTTGCTATGAAGCTGAAATTAAAATTACCAGATTACCAGATTACTGTTGAGACAACAACATAGCACTTGAAACAGCAACAACCTGTGTTTTCACAGTTTAGGGATATTGAGTGGCCATCACCACGAGCTGTGAGTCCCATGCCTTCTCACTGCACAATATAACACTTTCTTCTGAAAGTAGGAAAGGTGCTTACACCAATGGAAGGATGGTACAACAGGCCGCAGTTGTTGCATTTAGTGTCCCCTAAAGTAGCAGATGATGTAATACTCTGTAATAATAGGGAAATGTTAATTGTTAACTAGGTGGTCTTAAACTCTTAGCCAACACAGCATTATGTTCTGACTGAAGATACTGATTACTCATTTAAGAATCGACATCCTAGAACACCGGGCATACCCACAGGTGCTCCGTCTCCCGCAGCAAATAAATAAGGTATAGATGCCAACTGTTCCTGTAGCACACTATTTTACACACACCGATCTCTTCCTCTCATCCATCCCTCCTTTCTGGATCCACACTTAAATCCTCGTTCAAACATTCTTGCCCATGTTATTTTATCTAATCTCATGTCTTCTGCTAAAGGTCATTCATATATGGTCTTCAGAATATCTCCCTTGTCCAATACGAGTGTTCCCGTAGCTTTCGCTTTTGTAGCCAGATAATCCACTCTTTCATTCCCTCGAAGATACTGACTGCACCAGACAAACACTGGCATAAAAATTTGCAGACATCTTAAAATACAAATGAAAAAAAAAAAATTAAGATATGTTAGTAATGTCAGATTTGGGTTCATATTTATACTTCCTCATATATC